TTTTTTTTTTTTTTTTTTTTTTTTTTTTAGGGATTCCAATGTGTTGATCGCAGTACAGCAGCTGATTATTGTGAAGATCACGGTGCTGCCTTACCGTCGGTTATAAACAACGTAGAGGGTAAAAAAAAAAAAAAAACTGTTACTAAACAAAATTTACTATTTGAAAGAGTAAATCAATTACAACAACGGCTTTATTACAGAAAGCAATTAGTAAATCAACAGAATATTAATTTGTGCTAACAGTAAAGTTGAAATTAAACATAAGCTATCCATCCATCAATTCATTCATCATACCCCTTACAGCAAGTGTACTGTCTCGTTATGCAAAAACTGGCTATTGGCTTGGATTTGAACAAGTTGGAAAAGATTGGGTTTGGTTAGACAAATTGAATACCACCATATCACCATGGGAAAATTTTTTACAAAATGACGGTACATTTGTTTACTCAACAAAAGATTCTAAATGGCGCAGATATGTGAACCATAACGATACTTGCGGTGAACCCGTATGTGTTTTTCGACGTTCGTCTTTGGTTACTTTTTTATTGTTAATGTAAGAAAAAAAGTTTTTTTTGTTTTAATAAAAACTATTATAGATAAATGTTGTAAATTTTTAGTGCATTAATAATTTTAGCAAAAAAAAGAATCTAAACTATTTGAAGTATATTTTAAGTAACTTGAAAATGGGGATAGCAAAAAAACCAAAAAAAAAAATTTCAAGTTTAACAGCAATAAAAAAGATCACAAAGTTATCTGAACAATTTTAATACAGTAAACAAATTAATAACTTTTATTTATTTAGTTGAAAAAATTTATTATTCAATTTGTTAATTTTTACAAATTTTTTTTTTTGTATTTTTTAGCAATTTTTGCGGCTCAAAGAAGATGCATAAGTATTTATTTTGTTACCGGAACTAACTGTACATATGAAGTTTGTTCTTCTATTTCTTTTATTACTTCTCTTCTTTTCTTTTGTTTTTTTTTTTTTTGTCTGAACAGTATTTTGTTCAACAAATTTTCTGCATCTGTCATTCAAAAACTTTTTTTTTTTACTTTGCAGTAATTAAAAATTTGAGCACAACACATATTTGGTAAAAATTTTTTGCTAACTTTTTTAGGCTACTCGGGCAAGAAACCGATTTCGTACGTTTTC